TTGTTCTAGTGAGAGTTAAGGTTTGACAGAGTATCTACTTTTCTGCCTTTCCAGTGTCTATGGTATTTGTAAGACATTCCTCCAACATCACATTTCAAATGAGTTGATTTCCCCCACTGTCTTTCTTCCTCGTCTTTCTTTTACATAGTATGGAAGATTTTCACCTTAGTTTCCAGTAACAATATTTGCTAACTCCCAACCTCCATTTTTTTTGTTTTCAAAAGATGACAGGTTATCTACCTTTTGCTACGAAAAGTTTGGCATACTTTTTCCTGCCAGCAATGTGGGCATGATATTCTGCAGCAATATTGGGGGTCAGTTCCTGGTGTTTTGAATCATGGGTACACAAGCACAATATCCCACATTCATAAACCAGACTTTATTTTGAAGAAGTGAATTTATGTTTGTTGAAAATTTAGCTGATATCAGGGTTCGTGGCCTCTCATATCTTGTCATCATTTTTCTTCATCCTGTTCAGTTTTATTAATTGTAATGATAATCATTTCCTGAACTTCTTTTTTTCTTTTCTTCTTTATGATCCATAGGGTCCCTTCCATCGCAAGATGATGATAATGGCGATGCCTCATATGAGCCCAAGTGTTCCATGTGTAGGCACAGGATGGGCATGGGTGTGCTCCCTTTGCCTTACTTCACTAAAGGGAAAGGCCACTGGACCAAGGCCTTGATTCAGAAAGAACTGTGGTTGTACTCTGATGCTTCCTCCCATTGGACAGGAAGAGTGGCCTACAACTGTCTGTATCTATCCTCTAGTTAACAGATCCAAATCACTCCACATTGGAGGTGAAGTTCCTCTGTGATCAGGATTCTTGTTATAGTGAAGGCCTGCATAAACGCGCGCACACACACACAAAGAGAGAGAGAGAGAGAGAGACAGAAGAATACCTGTTAGTGATGCTCTGTAATATATAGAAGGCAAACAGTGAGGCTGGCATGGTTGTGCCCTCTCCTACTGCAAGCAATCACAGTAGTGTGAGAGCATCCCGTACAGCTTGTGTGCGAAGCAGATGGCTGGAATCCTATTAGTAATGCTGACTGATTTTAAGAAGTATGTAAAACACATCATTCTAGACTGGCATGTAATGTTTAGCCTGCCTTGCTGTGCTGTTTTTACTGGTGTTCTTCATTGATTTTAATGGGATTTTATGGTGGGACTGGTTTTATTTAGTTCTATGACTTTGTAGTTCAGTTGGGCTTCACATGTGCTTATTCTTTTATGAAGATTGCAAGCCACCTTTAACACTTTTTTCTGCTGGAGAAGTGAGCTATTTTTCTGCTGGAAAAGTGAGCTAGAAATAAATAAATAAACTTGGTGGTGTAATTGGTGTGAATCTCAGCAGCAAGTTAGAAAGTCAGCACAGGTACTTGCAATTGCACACTGAATTACACAACTCAATGTGCAATAGCAACTGATTTCTTAACTTATGACAATTTGCTGCCGAGATTTATATTGATTGCATTACATTAGCATATATTTCTAATAGGATTCTAGACAATGTATTAAATGTGTGAAGGAAACGAAATTGATAGCATGGTTCTACTACACAGTGAGCCTGTGTGGATGTGCTTTTTAGTCTCAATGGAGTTTTGAATATAATTAATTGGCCTATCCCAGTTTTTGTCCACTCTGAGAGCTACTCTCCCAGTGAAACATACAGGAAGCATATGTACAATGTTATTTTGTGCACTCATCGACCCCTGGATCATAGGTCCCAGTTTGAAGAGAAGCACACTATATGACTTTGGACTTCCATCTACATATCATGATAATAAGTAAAGAGCTTCTTTTATAGGTATTGTTAAATTCATTTTCTTTTTGTTGTGCACTGTGTTGGATCTCTGGGGAGAGAACAGCATATAAATGAAAATAATAAATAAATAATAACTAAGTAAAATTTACACAATACAAACTTTCCATTTGCAAGTGATTTTCATAGACTGTTGCATTAATTTACTGAGTAGTGCATGCTTTAGTTTAGGTCCCTATGGGTTGAAGGTCACAGGAAGCTAAGAGAACAAACCTCTTTAGGCCTGATGTGAATGGTAGGGAAGGATGTAAATTTTTGCTTGTCTTGTCCTTGCATATGAAGATGAGGAAAGAAAAAAGTGTATCTCCTTATTCTGCTGGAAGTTAAGGTAATTTGCAGTGCCCTGAACAAGGTAAGGAGAACAATAGTTTTGCATCGTAAGCAAAATTGAGATGATACTTAAAGGTAAAGGTAAAGGTTCCCCTTGACAATTTTTGTCCAGTCGTGTTCGACTCTAGGGGGAGGTGCTCATCCCCGTTTCCAAGCCATAGAGCCAGCGTTTTGTCTGAAGTCAATCTTCCGTGGTCACATGGCCAGTGCGACTCAGATACGGAATGTTGTTACCTTCCCACCGAGGCGGTCCCTATTTATCTACTCGCATTTGCATGCTTTCAAACCGCTAGGTTGGCGGGAGCTGGGACAAGCGACGGGCGCTCACTCCGTCACGTAGATTCGATCTTACGACTGCTCGGTCTTCTGACCCTGCAGCACAGGCTTCTGCGGTTTAGCCCACAGCGCCACCACGCCAGTATCAGAGATGATACTTAGCTACACATAAAATAAAATAAAGTATATTTTGACATAAGTACTGTATTTTAAATTGTGCAAAATAGGAATGGCTGCTGCTTGGTTTCATGGACCTTTGAGTTGAAGTTTCAATTTCTCTCCTTCTGTAAGTTCTACGCTTGCTGTATGTGTGTTCTTTCTCTTCTCAGAGTTAAAGCATACTAGTTTTGCATAGAAAACAAGTTTTGCAAATTACAGAAAAATGAACCAAAAAAATAACACTTTTGTCTCATTCTTGCCTGGAGGGGAGGAATTTTGTTTTCATAATAAATAACTCCTTGTCAAGGTGACTAGACTAATCAAAACAGTGAAATGGATCAGAATGAAGAATTTAGCAAGCCTTCTTTACATCGTAGGGAAGGCAGAGTACAAAGAAAATAGGCAAACTATTTTGAGATGAACTGTTTGGATAAATTATAAGACAAAAATAGTTAGATTTGCAGTTGTATCTCATAGTACTTCTGATCTGATCACATTGGTTTATGTGCTTGATTATCTAGAGCCAGAATATAACTGCATTACTGAAGCAGATATAGCATGTATGGTTAAGAAACAGAGTGGTCAATCCAGGTAGGCAAGACTTGATTTTATTAATAAAATGTCTATTTTTCCTCTTTGAGGTGACCATTACAAACTTTGGTTTTTAAAAAATTGACTTCTGAACAGCACACTGATGACTTAAAATCTGTTTTACATATAAAATGTTTTGCACCATTTTTTTTTAAAAAAAGTAACAGCGGAAAATGAGCTAGTGGAATGTGATATCAATTAATTTAAACAAATGTATATAAGAAATAGTAACAAACATTTATTTTTTTCAAGCCTTACATATATTATGAAAAATAAGTACAAAAGGATTTGTGTTGTTAAGTTAATAGCTATGTCTGACTACCTGTGGGGAGGGGAAAGTCTTGAGGCCAGGCCAAAACAGCCATTTAGGAAAAAAAAATGGATTGCAAATTGTAACTGACTGGGTCAAAACACCAAGCTCTATAGATAGCAGTTTCCTCATTGGTTGCTTGGCAACTAGGGAGAATCACATGACCTACACTTATTTGCCATAGTAAACAGGGCGATCCATAAGCAGATGGAAGGTTCTACTTGTGCATCTCCCTTAATGGGAAAGCAAACAGATTCTAGGAATACAAATCCAGAACAGGGGTTGGGTGGTGAATACATAAGGTCCCTTCCTGCACTGCCCATGAATTACTGAGACGAAGATCAGTGCTCATTGTAGTCACCATTAGCTCTGTAGGGCACCTGCTTAGGATTGCAAAGTGGCTAGGAAACAAGCACTAACTTGACCTGGCTTACGAGTGTCTTCAACAGAAGCTTGACCTGCAGAAACCAGCTGGCGAAGCTCTTACAGTCATTCCGCTATCTTCAGATCCAGCTTCTGCTAAAGGCACAGCTGCAGGCCTCATACAGGACCTGACAAGTTTGCACATGCTTCAGAGCCAATGCCATGTTAGAGTATTTTCTTCGAGAGTAGGATAAGGCTTACTTTGTGTTCCAATATTTCTTGATTGGGCTTATCTTAAAGTGACAGGAGTGATTTTAAAAAAAGACATATGGATGGGATGGGAAGATAAAATCTGGGATTTATTGTATCACATTATGTCTCTCATTCAGGAGAGGAAGTATTAACGATCGTTCACATATAATTTAAGTATACCTGGTGTAAATCCAGATAAGATAATAGATGCGGCACAATCTATAAATAAGTATTTAGATTCAGGTGACAAAGATCAAATGAGCTATAAAAAGGGTTGACTGTTGGATTAGTCATTTGAAGGACCCTTCTGATGTTACCTATAGGACATGGTAGCCAGGCAGAACCCCTTCTTCTGTGGGTAGCCATGCTATAATCGGAGCAGTTGTGCGGGAAGGATCCATGCCAGAACCTCCTCCTACACAGCTCAGATCTTCCAGCATTACCAGAGTGGTGCAGGAAGACCTCATGTTGCTGTAGCTCCTACAGTCCTAAAGGTTACCTCAGAAGGGGCCTTCCAAGACATCTTTTACACATTTATTTTAAACACACACATTTCCCATCCCCAAACATAAAACTTGTTTCTCTTAGGTATATTATATATATACACACATATTTCTTGAAATATCCTGGCATCAGAAAGAGAAAATAAAGAAGTCTGAGGTATAGCACCATGGAAGAGCACTTCAACCAGTACTTTTCCTTCTTGGAGATCCTTAACACAAAGTAGTAACAGCAGACAAGTGTGCTACTCAAATGTTTCCAGTTTTTGCCACCTGAGGTTTTTGTTGGTGACTTCAAATAACAGAGCTCTTGAATAGCAATATATACAAAGGGAATTATTATTATTATTAATATTATTAAAATCAGAAAAAATGGAATTGGATTCACTGGAAATTACAATTTTATTTTTTCATAATACATACACAGTATTGACAACATAAGTTCTGAAATTATTATAACGTAAGAGCCAGTTGCAATTCAGGGACACATGCAAGTTTTGGAAATGGACACAGAAATGACAGCATTGTACTGTACACAGAATAATTACAGTTTATTAAAACATGTCTTCTTAGCACCTCTCACATTAAATTTGAAGGAGCACCTTGACATTCAATTTTACAGCACCAAAAAAATCAAGGGAGGTACAGTTGGGTGGGGTGGGATGGAACAGTGGTGGAAGGTGTTCATAAAATTAACCATATGTTACTTCTGTCCACCACAGAATCCTTCATAATTTGCCAAATAAGTTTAAGTCATGTGATTCTGGTCCTACAGGGGCACTCAGTGTTTCCTAGAGAAGACATAAATATATGGTGAGATGTAATTTTTAAAAATCCCATCCTTATTCAAAACTTGCATGTGGCATGAAGTGGGTTGGTGATGGCACCAAGGTGCATTTTTCTTGTCGATGGTCTTCACAATGCTCTAAATTTAACCGAGGAAACAGACTGGACCAATTTCAAATCCAAACTTCTGATTCTGATCACCAAAGTCATTGATCATCACATCAAAAATAGGAACTTGGTCAATTTTAGGAGTGTTGAGTTCAAGAACAGTCTTTGCATAGCCTTTTCTTGACTGTAAAAAAACACAAACACATACATTAAAAAGTGAAATCTGGTGTTGTTTGATGCACTAAAGATCTGTGCTATTTTCCTAGAATAAACAGAAATTATGTCAACCACAAGCCCAGTAATCTAACCTGGGAATCTAACCTTCATGAGAAACTATAACCAGATTTAAGAAAGGCTATTACCATCTAGCAAAGCAGTCTAACATTAAGTGGGCAGCTCAAAGGCTTGATTCTTAAGGAGTCCAAGGCTGGTAAACTGCCAACTGAACTACTTCTTGTGAAGCTGAATCAAAATTGAAATGGTGACCTACATTTTGACTGGACCTAGTCTCAGTAAAATATTATCAACCATATGTTGCTTCCACAGCCTGAAAAAGTTCCTCTTTTTGAGATTTCCTGAGCCATTATGGCTACAGGGGAATCTGGGAGCTGTACTCCATAACTTTATGATTATTATGACCATAGGTCAGCCATGTTAGATATGCAAGACTAAAATACAATTAGAAGTCACTCCAAAGAAGTAACTTTTGGTACTGTGAGTAATTGAAACAACTCTCCAGATGAATACACTTATCTATATTTAGATACCAAGTCCTCTTGTTACACTTTGAGAAAAGACGATTAAGTGCTAAACTCATGTGCTGGGGAAGCCAATGCATTGCCTCAACACCAATCCTGATGCAGCTTTGAAGGAGAGAAAAGGAACACCATGGCATACTTCCTTTTAACTCCTGCTTCTTGTCTGTCTCAGAGTTCCTATTAACTGTTGAAGTTTCTGCTGCTAAAAACCAGACCTTATGTGAACTGGAGAAACAGGGTGGTGGTGATGGTAGACTACTATGAATCAGTGAAGCAGAGGTGTGATGGGTAAGAATGGGACTGGTGAAGGCTGTGGATTGTTGGGCAGTGATAAAAGGGGAAAACCCATTTAAATGGAAACGTCTTCCAAGTTCTCTGTAAAGAATCAGATGTGAAGGAGAAGCCATCACACTATGTAACTAAAATCAGTGCTACTTAACATACTGGGGTTCTTAGGGGTTGTATGAGTAATTAATGAACACTTGTGAAACGTCTCAAACATGATCTCTCCAGTGCCCTTCTATCCCCATCAGATTTCAGTGCCACTTCAAACAGCAGCTCCTTGGATTTGAAGAGGAGCAGATGCAAGATTTAAGAAAAAAAAGAAAAAGAGAAGAAAAAAAGGCTTTGGCACTACTGTCACTTCCATTATCTGCTTTAGAATGAAATTATATTAAAATTGGGATGTGAGGGAGGGAGACCTTTCATTTACAGTATTATTATTATCCATCTCTTCTGCAGCACGTTGTAGAGTACAAATGCTTTCCAATTACAATTGCACATCTCAATACTCTTCCACCAGTGACTTTCCTTGCCAGCACAGTTAGAACAGCACATTATCTGTCACTCTCTTTCTTTCCTTTGCCGTAAGTTATGGCTAATGTTCTTCTTATTCTTTTAACATTTCATTTCTTTCTTCTTCTTTTTTCCCTAAGGGAGTGATTTTGTGGATGTGAAGACCAACAGGCAGAAATGAAAGGACACTTTGAACTTTCAAAACATGCTTTAAGAACAGCATTAAGCTTGAATTCATTTGATTACTAAGCTAACCTGCCATTGTAAGGGATGGGATGGGGGCAATATCCTGAGCTTATACTTACTGCACAGCCATCATGAAGTGCTTTGATGTAAGGATTGTTGTCATAAGACATCTCTTCATCATTTGAGCCTAAGAACCTCAGTGCTTTGTCATAGCTGTCGGAAGACACGTCGTGCCATGCCACTGACTGATGACAGTTGTACGTGAAGTTTTGCCGGGCGGAGGCACTCAGTAGTTTAAGGAATGTCATTTGTACCATATTAATGGAATTGCCTTCGGCATCCACGTAAGAAAGCTGAGGAAGTTAAAAAAAAGAGGAAGAAAAATACAGACCCGCAAACAGGCCCATCAAAATGGGTTGCTTCTCCTTTTAAAGTGCAAAACAAGATTACATTTGACTCAAAAATGCATTAACTGGCCTCTCTGTAAGTCATCTGACACATGCCTGTTTGTTGCTCCATTAAGAATGCAGTCAAGCTATGAATCAGTAAACAGCTTTTCTGTATGCAGCGCTATAGGATTATGCATTTGGGCTGCCTACTATCATCAGAAGCCAAAAACTATCCCAAATGGATTTCTGTAACCTTGCAAAAAGAGCACAACTTTAATTCACTGCAAATCTGTAACCTAGTATAAATGTTCACTTGATTCAAAGGAGCTCTTTCTATGGTAGAATGCTTTTGAACCTTACTGCATGCCTATGTGGTGATGAACCTTTCTTTTCGCAGCAAATTTCTGTCTCATTATACCACGTTTCTCTGCAACAACTCCAGTGCTCCCAAAAGATTCTGCATCAACAACCTTTTTACACCTGCTTTTCCCATTTATTTACATGGGGAAAAATCTTTAAAGGCTGTGTGATCGCTCTCTGCTCATGCCATACGATTGCTGAACAGAATAGGGGACAATCTGCAAAAGAGAGGGATTCCCGCATAAAAAAACATTTCAGTGGAGCTTTCAAATATGTCATTTGCTAGCCTGTGCAAGATTGTAGTATATCCTCTATAGCAGTGGTTCTTAACCTTTGTTACTCGGATGCTTTTGAACTGCAACTCCCAGAAACCCCAGTCAGGACAGCTGGTGGTTAAGGCTTCTGGGAGTTGCAGTCCAAAACTCCTAAGTAACCCAAGGTTAAGAACCAGTGCTCTATAGGACAGAGCTCCTTTGCTCCGAAGATAACAGTATAATAACAACATGCCTGCTACATCTACCACTTAAAGACCATTGAGTGACTCTTCTGGAGGAATTTTGGCAGGATTTGCCAGAAACAGAGAGACTGATTGCATGGAAACCAATTTTAGCGATGCCTATAAAGACATGATTTTCTAGCCTTCAGAAGACAGAAAATCCTTCATGTAATAGAGTTTTTATTCAAAGAAAACAGTAGACCTTTCCCCAGCCTGCACACAAAATAGAAATGTATCCTACATAGCATGAACTTCGTTTTCTGTGCAAAAACATATCTTGCATAAGATATAGCTGGTTTTCTTTCAGAAAACAGCAGATATTTTTCTAGATTGCACACTTGCATGCATACGTAGGCACACACAATTTTTCTTTTCAAAATCATTTTTCAGGTGCCTTCATTGCATGTACATAACCTTGCACTGAACTAGCACCTGAGGAAATAATTTTTGAGGTGCGTGTGTGTGTGTGTGTATGTGTGTGTTTGTGTGTGAGAGTAAGAGAGAGAGAGAGAGAGAGAGAGAGAGAGAAGGGTCTTTTTGTGGCATTGTATTTTGAATAACTTACATAGTTGCAATATTTTTTGATATCTAGCCTTATAGCTTGTAGCAAAAACATAAAGACTCTTAAGACACCTTGAGGAAAATGCCTATTTAAAATTTAATGATACTGCTCATACTTAGAGAGAGCAAGTCTAAAATATCTAATTGAAAAAGTTGCAGTCCACTGGGAATGGAATGCAAACAGTTTCTGGCATATAAAATACCCCTTGGCCTTTCCCCAAGGATAATGAACTCCAATTCAGACTTCATTTTAAAGTGTGATTCATATATCTGTTGAAACAACTTTAGATTTGCATTCAGAGCTTGCCACTAAAAATTATAATTTGTGACCTGTATTGGAAATTAACTTCAACTTTACCTTTGCAGTGAACAGGATGTATTAACAGATTTTATTAACTTTTAGTATATGAAGCAGGCCAGGACAATACAAATTACACTGAAATATTATATCATTACGAGCACAATACTCAAATATAGGCCCAGTTCATAGATCTGATGACCCTCAGAGAATTAGCTTTGGGAACACAAGTGGATACTACCAGGAACACAGACTGCTTAGGCCTGAGGTGGCCACAAATACACTAACTATGTGGAGGTTCTGCCTCATACAGCTTGTAACTCTGTACTGAACGCTGCAAGACTTCTGGCAATGGCAGAGAGCAAAATCAATCTAGGATGCAGAACTTGAAAAAAAATGCAGGGAGAAAAATTATCGCACAAATCTCTGTATAGATCCAACATATATAAGTAATTATCCCTACCTTTGCACTGCTATTTGCTTCCAGGGCAGAACTTGGAAATAATGCTCTAGATTTGATTTGTTAATGTTAAAATGGTTACTTCAGCATTAAACAGAAAGAAAGCATCTAATTTAAAATTCCAACCAATGTTTGTTAAAAAAAGAAAAAAAGTGTGTGCGTGCGTGCGTGCGTGTGTGTGTGTGTGTGTGTGTGTGTGTGTGTGTGTGTGTGAGAGAGAGAGAGAGAGAGAGAGAGAGAGAGAGAGAGAATATACAAAATAAAATAAAGGACCATGCATATGTCCAAAAACAGTTGTTACGAGCTGGCATTGTCAAAAGAGATACTTATGCATTGCTAAAGCAGTGAGCTATTTCAACCATTGAATAATGGATGGTACATGTTTATCTTTCCACTTTTGAAATATAAATCTTTTGGTAACTGTAAGAGCTTGTAAAATCAAAATACACTGATCGCCAGTTAAGTGTCAAGCTTAAAAGTACATACTTGTCTACAAATACAAGAAATGTTCCTAAATTAAAGTTGATTCTCTGGAACACAGCCAACCAAGAAAAGATGACACCAACATCATGCACCCTTAAAGGAACACTGTCTATATTGCAACACCAACATTTAGCTGAAATGGCCAGTTTCTTTCTAAGTAAATGAGGTGGTGATCAAAATCCGAAACATTTCTTTTTATGGGTTCAAGAGTGTGTATGTTCTGTACTGCCAAGTCGGAATCAATGTATAACAGTCCTCATAGGGGTTTCGGAGTAAGTGAGATATATTTCAAGAGTGGTTTTGCCCAGTTCCACTCCCCCAGTGAGCTTCCATGGACAAGAGCAGATTTGAACCCTTTTCTCCAAAATCCTTATCTGCCACTCTATCCACTACACCCCATTAGGATCAAGAGTAGCTTGTCTAAAGAGATTTTAGGCACTGAGCTACGGCAGTTTTCTATTGATTAATTTCAACTGAACTGTACAATTCAAAGGTAGAAAGACAAACATAGACCATATATTATTCAATGGTCAAAAGTCTCATTTCATGAACATCAAATTCACTGCTTTCTAATAGTTGTCTATAAATGATGGTTGCTATTTTAATGTCTTTTGAAGAAGCAATTAATGCTTCTAATGTGGCAGGAGTTCCTGAGACACTTAAAAGCAATGATGCATATATGGGCATCAAAAGATGTTGTAATTGAAAACCTTGCCATACCGTTCCAGAATGTGTATCACATCTGGAATTTTGAAAAGGATAATTCTTGGTTCAGGACTACCAGTTAGTCTAACATGCACATCCCACGATCAGCCCATTTTTTTCCATTAAAAAGTTTGTATTCCAATTTTAGATCAGGATGACCTCATAGAGTTAATATTGCACATATGAGTAAATTGGTAAGAAATCATATGCCAAACTATCCAAGGATGCAGGAGGGGTAAGTGTCTTTTATTGCTTAATGGACAGAATATAAAGCAGTCCAGGCAAAAAGTGGTGTCAGATAGGTTCATTCCAAAATTGCCCATAAAGTGTTGTTTGAATCAAAATGTGTTTGCCAATTATTTGTTCACGCAAAAAGGAATATCTACGATACATACTCAAATCTGGAAAACTGAATCCACTTCCTGAAAATGCAATCTTAAGAAAACAGCTTTTCAAAAGTAACACTAAAATCTTTACAGCATTACTTTCAAAACATCATTCTTTATCTGTCACCTTATCCTCCTGTTTAACATGAAAGTAATGTGATTTTAACATTGACATGTTAAAGTGATGTATTATATCTAAGTTCTGCTCGAAGACTGATTTGGAACACCCTCCGTAACAAAGATCCTCCATAACAAAGATACACAGAGAAGCATTCCCAAAAGTTGGCCTTCAACTGCATAGCCAAACCTCAGTCTTGAGATGGGATGGGCTATATATTAGGCAAAATGCAAAATAAGCAAGAGAAAGGCAAAGCCCATACGGGAACAAAGGAAAATTGCTTACAGCTGAGGTTGCATGACGTTTAGAATAATCTGGTGCAAGGCACCTAAAACCATCTGGTACATAGGTTGCCTATGCTGGGATCCAAATAGTTGCAAGGCTTATTAAAGCATGGGATGTGGTACGATGCTCCTTGGGAAAATAACAGTGAATGCAGAAATCTTCCCTGGATTTGAGTTTCAGCATGGGAGCTAATTAATTCAGAAAATGAAGCAATGATACTTTACCAGCTTGCCTCTCTTAAATTCACTGAACCAGGTTCCTGGATTTTCTTTTGGCCATGATGAAATCCTTACCTGTGAAAAATAGAAAAAAGAATGATGATTCTTAATCATGTCAGTCAGAAATGAGTAGGAATTAACACTGCTCTACATTTCACTAACTACTTTTCCTCTTCAAAAAAAAGGAAGAAAGAGATTGAGAGTAAACATGGGGATGAATAATAAAAAAAGAATCACAATATTATTGCTGATATTCGTCAGGTCCAGAGACCTCGATGAATGTGAAGGGATGAATATTTACCCATTTTTATTAGTCCCTTTGTGTAGGCTGGCTGAGAGAAGAGAAACCCCCATTTCCCTTCCTGTAGCCTTGTCAATGTCTCGCCAATCAGCTGATGGTTGGAACATTGACAAGCAGATTGACCGCAGGAATGGAAATCCCTGATTCTGTTTCAATAGCCAGCCTGCTTGTCAATGACACAGGCAAGCTGAAGTAAGGAAAACCCCGGGTTCCACTCCTGCAGCCAGCCAACGGATGACATCAACATACAGGCAGGCTGTGGGAAGGGAAACCTGGGTTTCTGTTCCTGCATTCAGCTTGCTTGTCAATGTCCTGCTGATCAGGTGTGTGTTAGGCCATTGTGTTTTAATGATGAATTGAGAAATATTTATTGATTCATCACTAAAATTTGGCAATTTGTTGATTCATCCATTTGTCAACTTTGATGAATTGCAACAAACCAGAATTTTTTCTGATTTGTCCCCATCTCTAATTGTGCAATTTGTTGATACATCCATTTGTCAACTTTGATGAACTGCAACAAACCAGAGTTTTTTTCTGATTTGTCCCCATCTCTAATTGAGAGAGATAGAAAAAGAGATCGTGGGACAGAGATGCATAGAAAGAGTGATTGCCTGGCTTCCTACCTTGGCATATCTGGAACTCTGCAGAGTGGGATTTGTATCCAGTTTTCAGATTACATACCAAACAAGCAAACACATTAACTGAATTATACAAGCAGATCTGTAGAAATGGTTTGTTGATGCTCTGCAGAGGGCTTGCCCATGTACTTCACTCCCTTCAAATCCTATGGTTTTGTGATTCCAAACTGAATCTGTTATATCTTTCTCTAAGACAGAGGGATGGGCCATTAAAAAAATTGCATACCTGATAGCGGTCCTGTCTCAGCTGAGAAGAAAGACTTCATGAGAACATGACGTAAGGTGACTGGCTTACTGGTTTGCTTTTCAAATTTCTCCACTCTTCTCTAAATATTCTGCTATTTGATTTGTGAGAACAACTAATTTGGATATTTATGAAAAGAACAAACATCCCCATTGGATCAAATCAAAAGACTGTTTAGTCTGGCACCCTGTTTCAAAGCAATGCTTCAGGTCTGGACCAAATCCTTTTCACGATAAGCATCTGGATAGCCATGCTCCCTACCCTCTGAGCTCTCACTCTAAACAACTAACAAAGAGCAAAACTTGAGGAATTCATTTTCTAGGACTCCTCATTCAAACTGATCTATTATATATTTTGTGGACCATAAAGGGACAAAAGACATTTAAAGTGTCACTTCAGGGAGAAAACAAGCTCATTTTGAGAACTAAATACTCATGTAAGCAAACATTTGCAGCAACTTTCAGTGAGGTGGACAGTGTTTCGGAGATGCACTTTTGAAATGAATCAGCAGAAAGAGTTAAGGGGGAAAAAGCTTAATTAATGAGTTTATTTATTTTTCAGGAATCAGAATAAGCTTTATGCTTTCATTTAAAAATGGCTCCACAGCTGTGGCATAGGCATGAAACACGTTGCTAGCAAGCAGGTGCAGCACGCCAACATCTGCATGAAATGAGCTTTTGAATCCAATGGGGGAGGGAATCTCTTCTTTGCTGATGTTGTGATGTACCATCACTTTGCTGCCTTGTTCAAGTTTATGTAAATATAGGAGTAATTATTTTGCAGAAAAAGATATATAGACAAAAATTTGATTGCACATGTCTGGGTTTTTTTCAAAAATTATTATTATTTTGGTCATAGTCCCGAAGTAACGCAGCAGGAATTATCTGTGCTAAACATAACAAACATAACAAACAACTGGTACTTACTCCTTCCGACTTCTTATCTGGATAGATGCAAGTTTCTCCGCCTGCTGTGAAATTACAGTATACTTTGAAAGAGTCCCCAGAACAACCCTGGTTAGGATCTATCCAATACTCTCCTGAAATGAATACAAAAGGAATTTGTTGAAAGCATTCATCTGACTGATCTTCTACTATCATTCAAATGAATTTGTTTTAAAAATAGTGATAAAGTTAGACATTGGCTGAAATCCTGTTAATTAGTGTAGAACTTTGCACTAGAATAAGCCCACTGAATCAATGAGGATTCGGGGAGCAAACTCCTCTGTAAGTTCCATTGATTTAAATGGGCCTACTTTCACTGTGACTTCTTATACTAAATTAGTAAATTCTGGATATTCATCTCAAATCTAATATATTTCCTTACTGAAACAAGTAAGTTTTACATATTCACCCTAATACCTTCCCCCCTTTCCATTAGATTTATTAAGATAGAAACATACTGGCTGAAACCTTGTTGTGCAATTATGCAAACAGAATAACTTCTGGAAGAAAACTGCTGTTAAGTTAGGAAATCTCCATAGACATTATCTGTTACACACTGAATTGTGCGACTCTGTGCACAACAGATAAGGTCTATAGGGATTTCTTACTGCATGGCAACTTGCCTGTAGAAGTGTAAAAGTTTTAGCCATTATATTAAAAAGAATATAGGCAGGAATGCTAGCCTCTTATTTATACTAGGGTGAATATCTTAGGCAGGACGACTGGCCATTTCACACACTGAAGAACTGCTTGAGGGCCACACTGACAAGGGGATGTAGATCAAGTGACAGAATATGGCTAAAATTAACTAATTTCCTCACCTGGTTTTTTGGTTTTTCAGAGGGCTTTTTGCTATTGTTGCTTATTTTAAAAGTTTTAATAAATTACAATAGTTCAGCAAGTAATAAATACACTTAAATGTCAAACATTATTCAGTCCTCTTTAATTTTTATCCAGTCTCTGAAAATAAAATTTATACCTTCTGGCTAGTTCATTAAATTTTGGGCACAATCCAACTGAATATTCATGCCACTTGTAAGCCCAATGGTGTAAACTGCATTGGTGAATTTCCATTAGATAAGAAGCTGGCATTCAGATTTTGTGTATCACGTCATGTGACTGGGGTACTTGCAACAAGAAATACAGCAACTGACTCTTAACTCAACTAGCAACAATTGACCAATGAGATTTCTTGTAAGTACTCCTATTATTTATACTGTTGGACTTAATTTTAGATGTTTTTAGGATGCTGTTTGCTATGTTTTTATGTATGTAATGCCACCCTGAGTAGACTTTGTCTAGGGGGGCGGGGTAAAAATCCAATAAAAGTAAAGTAAAAGTAAAAGTTAATTCAGGTGAGCATGAGTAATAGAATTCTGGCCAATAGATCACAATGTAATCCACACACAAATTTCTACATTTATTTAAGTTTTAAAAAACATGTTTATTTTAATAACGTTAATAACGTGGCACAAACAGTAGACAGCTGCAGGTCTGTGATATATGGTGATCCTCTAGAACAGTGGTCTCCAACCTTGGGCCTCCAGATGTTCTTGGACTGCAACTCCCAGAACCCTTCACCACCACCTCTACTGGCCAGGATTTCTGGGAGTTGACGTCCAAGAACATCTGGAGGCCCAAGGTTGGAGACCACTGCTCTAGAACAGCCAATCAAGATATACAGAAGAGAAATGTGGAGAAAACATCTGGGAAGAGGGTGGCAATTGAAGGTTTTCTGCTTCAATTTACACTACCAAAAAGAATTGCTTCCTGGGTTTTCTCTACAGATTTGGTGGTTGGCCACTGAAGTTGTTGGCAATCTGTGATAGAGTATACACATAGTTTCTTCTTTAATTCCAGCTGCCTGGCAGCCATCATTCGTACTCCTCCTGCCCACTATATTATTGGTTCCTCTACAATTTCAGCAAAAAGTGTGACTTCCTCCTCGTCACTGTGTTCAGTCCTCACCTCTGAGTCACTGTGGTGTCTTTCTTTTTTAAAAAAAATCCTTTCACATCTTTGTTGCATAATATTTCCCCCCACACACACATTTTTAGCACATATTTTATAATGGTGATTCCTAATTTTTCCACTAAAGAAGCTAACAGCTTTTTCAGTTAGGAAGTTTCTTCAGTTGGTGTTCAGGTAAAATGTTTTACAAAAGGTTTTAACATTTTTTATTTTATTTTAATACTGTGCATGAAAGGATTTCACAAACATTTTATTTAGTTACTTTTAGAGGCTAGATTAGCCATATAACTAGAATAAATGACCTGACATTATCACTTAGCAAATCACAACGTCAGCTGTTTGCCACCGCCATGTAATATTAGCATACCATCTGGGAAGTCTGGGTGACAGAGCTGCAGATCCTTGCAGGTCCGAGCTGGGTTGTTCTGAGTACCCATTGGATATTTCATGTGCTCAATGTCCTGCTTCAAAGAGTTAAGTGAGCCAAAGATCTCTTCCATGCCATCAGTGTAATCAAGGATGCTATCAGCTGCATCGGACAACATGGCATCTGAAGATCTTCTGGTCTTCTTGGGAGACTGGATAGGCAAAGGTTGAATAACTTCACCTGGGGGGCCCTAGGAGAAACAAAACCAGAATCATTTCTTTTCTTCTGCTCTTTTAAAGCCACACAAGTGTCTAGTTTGAAGGAGTCACAGGTGGACCACCACACATGACAGTTGGACAGGGAAGACGCACAAAGATGTAGAGTTAGTTGAATTGCTTGCTGCTTTGTGTTTACAAAAACAAATAAATATAAAACAGACAACAATGCTTAGAGGACCAGAGTCAATGCTGTATTTCATCAGAGTGAGTCTGTCTTTTATTTCTCCAACTCTAGGTATAATAATAAGAATTGTGTGTTGTTAAATTGATTTCAACTTATGGCAACCCATCTTGGGGTTTACTAGATAGAGAATACACATAATTGGTTTATCATCCCCTTCTTCTGGAGCACCCTGGGACTGTGCAGCTTGCCCAAGACCACAAAGGCTGGCTCTTCTTGCAGGAGGCACTGGAGAATCGAACTTTCAACCTCTGACTCTACAGTCAGATGCCTAACTCACTGAGCTATCTAGCCAGCTTGGGTTTATTTTCTAACAAGAAACTATTTTACTGCTGCATTGTTTAACTGTGCAGTATTTATTTCAAACTAGCTTAATTTATTTATTTATATATACCACCCATCTGGCAGCCAAGCCACTCTGGAGGGTTTAAAACAAATCACAAAAAACCTACAGAGTAACAAAACAGCAAATAGTGACATTAATACATAGGGGTGAAAATTCATAAAGTGAAGTGAGGATAAAATTATAATACAATAAATTAAAAGCATAGAAGAAAATAAAAACATGGAGCATAGCAGTATGATATATTATTGGACACTACTGTATCAGAGTGTAGTTTATTCAGGGAAGGCCTGTCTAAATAGCTGGGTTTTTAGTAGCTTTTTGAATGAGCCCAGTGAAGGGGCCAGGTGGGCTTCGGGTGGGAGAGTTCCATAATTGTTGCGCTACCACCGAGAAGGCCCGATTTCTAGTGGTTGTTTTCCAGGCCTCTCTCGGGGTCAGAACTCTCAGCCGCCCTGCCTGCAACACTCTTATAGGATGGGCAGATCTAACTGGAAGGAGGTACTTGGCCAGATATCGAGGTCCCAAACCGTTTAGGGCCTTATAGGTTAATACTATCACCTTGAAACTGGTACGGAAGTGAACAGGTAGCCAGTGTAAGGTGGCCAGTGTGGGGGAGATATGTTGGCATTTTCTAGCCCCACTCAGAATTCTGGCCACCACATGCTGGACCTGTTGCAGTCTCTGTAGCAGTTCCTAGGGCAGCCCCAATCTCCATGATAAAATGAGCAATGCAAGTTCCATTCTCCTTCCTCAAATTGGTAACCTGTCTTAATTAGGCAAGTTTGTCTCAAATTTTCAACTCCTAGGAATCATATTACCAGTTTTGTCATGAGATGTTTTGCTGCCTAAGGTGAAGGAGAAGATGATATGTCCCGCAGCCTCCAGATGAGATGTGTAGAAACCAACAGGCTCGGCACTTGGAACTTCCATACTGGCTCTACCACAGCCCACCAACAGTGACTGGCTATTTCTACCACAGTACTGAGGTCAGCAAGTTAACGTAGAGAGGTCTGTTCCCCTATAGCATAGCAACACTCCTTACTCCCCCATTTATTTTCCAACAAAGGCAGCCATCTCACTTCACTGAACGGAAGGGACGGCTTTGCTAATTAAGCAACTGTTACCCAACTGCTCTGATTGCAGAGTTTTCAACATGTACTGTTCATTTTCAATTATACTCTCAAGATCACAAACCATAAACTCCTGTTCTTATTTTGGCTTGCACTCAACATCTAAGACAATTTATATAACATTCACAAGAGGAAGGTTTACTTACAGGAGGCCCAGGAGGTCCAGGTAAACCACTGTCACCCTTCTGACCACCAGGACCCTATGGAAGCATGGAAGAAAGACCCTATTAGCAGTTTGTTTTTAAAAATAGAATCCCATAAATGGAAAAAGGAATAGTGAACCATGGGGAAAAATAATGAAAGAGCCAGTGCACTTACTGTTGAACCTTTAGAGCCTTTTGGACCTTGAGGGCCCTAAAAAGAAATACATGTAGATAAAGTAGGCAATAATGTACTTATCAAGATGCTTGTGTCAAAAGGCATCAACGTGGAACAAGACATGTTGAGCGTAGCTACTTACAGGTAAACCAGGAGGCCCAGGAGGACCAAGTGGACCAGCAGGACCAGGAATTCCCTTGAAAAAGAATATGTGCAGAACTAGTTATTAAAAGCCACATACTAGTCTTCAAATTAAGTAATAATATACAAATGGAAGTCTTACTCCAAATGTACTACACACCAGAAGAGTTTCAAAGAAAATAGGCTATTAATGGAACTTGGCTATGGCTACAGATTTATTCATACTATGGATTGGAAATTTATTGTGAAAGAGATAAGAAGGAAGGGTATTTCGTTTTTAACCTCAAAACCTAACCAATTTCAAGGACCACACTGGAATGGAACAATAAAGGAAAGCAAGTAGGAATTTGCTGATGATTGTTAGAACAATTACAGCAAATAGCTGGAAAAGGAAAGAGAGATCTTAAATGGAAGTGTAGGTTAGGAGATTGGGGTGATGCTGATGAACAGGGCAACGGCCTTTAAGTTAATTAGGCAGAAAGAATTGACATTAACTTCTTGATACTATAATACTATCAGGCATGTTTTGCTTATTAAAATACAATCTAAAAGGACATTCTCCTATGCAAAACCCAAATGTAATGAAAGAAAGCTGAACAAAAGTAGAACTAAAGTAAATGGAAATCTGACATTATCAGTGCTTTAATAGAACAGGGAGTAGATCCATCAGGATTAGTTTTTTTTTGTGTTTTCAGTTTGCACTGGGTGAATATTTTTGCTTCCGTTGGGGTTGGTTCTTTTTACTATTATGTTTTTCTATAGCATTTTTTTTCTATACCTTCCTAAAAAGGCAATGAGGAATACAACCTAAAAGGACATTCTCCTATGCAAAACCCTAATGTAATGAAAGAAAGCTGAACAAAAGTATTTTATACAGTACTCTTTTCTTGATACTGCCTCATTAGTAACTCATATTTCCTGGTTATTCTTATTTAAGAGTTCCCATAGCTAAGCCAGATTCTAATTTTGTTGGTCAAAACCTTGTGGACTCACTCCAGATTTCCATAGTGTAAATGCCTCAGGAACACTCCTAGTCACAGTAAGTTTATGGACAGAGAGGCAGGACTTCCCTTATCCTTTAAAGATGAGGCACGTCACTTGCACTTGAGCTCCCATTGCTTCCAGATCAGAAAGGCTTGGACACAGAGGCATCAACTGATGGAAACATGGGGAAGTTTATTGTCACCTAACATGGCTTCTCCTTCCAATCCTGGTACCACCTCAAAATCTGCAAAGAATGGTTGGAGGGCAGGGTCCTCATTAACTGGGCAGGAGGAGGTATAGGAAGCGGGTTGAAATGAGAGTTCATCATCGACAGCAAAATCCCAGCATGCCCCCTACTCCCTCCTCAAGCAAGAGCCTCTGTAGGAGCTCTGTTTTTCCTGTGAATGGAAGTTAACATTTCCTTTTGCATAAGAGAAAATCCAGGTACAATTAGGAGTTCTTTGATATTGAACAGGTCCACAGAAGACAAAATTTGCACAATAAAATGCCAGTTTGGCTGCAGGCTGCATGGTTAAGGAATTAAACTGGCAAGAAGAACATGTGGGTTTTCACTCACTCCATCTCCTTTTTGTCCAGTGGCTCCCTGTGGGCCTGGCAGACCCCTGTCACCCTTTTCTCCTTGTTCTCCAGGAGGTCCGATCAGTCCAATCAAGCCAGGATGTCCCTAGAAAAACATACAAGATATAAGATTATCACACAATACTTCAAATCATAATATGCTAATTGTGTATAATAATTACAATGATGATAGGCCATCAAGTTGATTCCGATGGAGGGCAACTGTCCAAGGGTTTTCTAGATGTAGGGTATTCAGAGGTAGTTTCCACTGCCTCCTTCTGGTCGCACTTGGGGCCAATATGGCTTGCCCAAAGTCACACAAGTGGCAGGTCATGTAACCCTATCAGTCATACAACCCATCCGGGACGAATAACAGGGACTCCTGGCCCTTGACTCCACAATCATACACCCCAATTAACTGAGTTATAGCAGCACAAACACACACACACACATATAAGAATATTTAACAATACACAATAAGTCAAAAAATAAAATTGAAAAGACAACATCTAGTTTAGCAATATTTTATGGGGTTACAGTGTACAAAGTAGTTATTGTACCAGGCATATACCCAAGGACACATTTTAACGTACCTTTTCACCTTTGGACCCCGGATCACCTTTCAGTCCAGGCAAGCCAGGTGGACCCTAAAGATAATATCAGCAAAAGAAACATTTTTAATTGGAGACAACTGTATTTTGCAATTCAAGTCATTCACCTCCATCATAACAGGACAGACATAATTACATCTTGAAGCAATCAGCAGGTAATTCCTATCCATCTACTGCAGGGTAAAATATGATCTTTAACCAAATCTCATACAATGAAATTATAGGAATACTTCACCGTACTAACGCTATCTTTCATTTTGACCCTGCCTTAAATGACATTTAATGTTCTCCATGTGGTACTGAGCAGCATCACTAATGCATAAGTCATTTTGACAAGTGATTTTGAGGCATTACAGGTTTTGCTATTCTGGTGTCATTTTTAACCATTCTTATCTTGGCCAATATGGGATGTAGACTGCATCTTCATTGCTCTTGAGCCATGGCACTCAACATATAATCAGAGATATCAGTTCTGACGGTGCTCAATAGCAGAACTAAGAAAAAAAAGGTTTGGGGCAATATTCACCTGCAGCAGATTTTGTCCTCATACTTTATCTAATGTTTGCTATTCCTGTCACAGATGCAGTGCATTAGATATAACCCAAAGTCAGCATCTGTGGTATCAGAACTTTAAGTGGGAATCAAAGTTTAAATTTTCAAAAATGCATAACTAATTAATAATATGCTTTACCCTATTCCCTCCACCACCATTTTTATACTGGATTTGAGTTTTAATATTAACAAAAGCCAATGATATAATCTCTCTTAAAATTCATTTCAAATCTACCCTGAGGCAATAATGTCTGTTACATTTGCAAAGGTCATCTGTATTCCTCCTATAGTTCCCACAAAGGCACACTAAATGGGGAGAGTGGGAACTAGGTGTATAAGCCAACTGGGCTGTAGCTGTTTGGCTGTAATATTCACTGTACAGAGGCAGAACCATACATACTGCAAGGGAGTTCCACCATGTCCCAGTCTGCATATCACTTTCAGTGCTAGCATACATCTAGGAACACATGTTTGGATCATAAAATAATCTGACTTCAGGAAATACATGGAGAATAGATTTTCTTTTCCCTCCTCCCATGTGAAGACATCTGCTACAACCCCCCAAGTGCTACTACAGAAAGGCAGAAGGTAGCCCCCCCCCGAGGCCTATTGAGGAATTATGTACACAATTCTCTTCATGTGCATTAAGAATGGAGCAAATGCTCCTGAATTTTCTCCTCATTGATGAAAAGGAATGTCTTGATACATTGGGACAACATGTTGAAAAAAGAGAGGTTACTTATCTGTAACTCTGGTTCTTTGAGTGGTCCTCTGTGAATTCACACTAATGGGTTAAATCTGCGCTTGTGTAGAGATCTCCGGAATATTCTTGAGCTTTATGCTAATTCTGTAAAGGACCGTCCCCCCAGCCCACGAGGTCTGCCCTCCCTCCAAGTTACCTCAGTTCTAATAGCAGCCTGCCGCTGCCTCAGTAGATACAGAAGTGACGGACAGAGGGGAGGACGGGCGGGAAGTGTGAATTCACAGAGGACCACTCGAAGAACCAGAGTTACAGGTAAGTAACCTCTCTTTCTTCATCATGGTCTCTGTGAATTCACACGAATGGGTGACTAACCAGCTTACCTTAAAGGTGGAGGGATCACTGAACAACTGAAGATAGTACTGTTCTCCTGAAGGATACATCAGTTTTTGCTCTCAGGTCCAGTCTGTAGTGTGGCGCGAAAGTACACAGTGTGGACCACGTGGCAGCCTTACAAATAGGAACTCAATGGAGGAATGCTGCAGAATTGGCTGTAGCTCTTATAGAATGAGCTCGAACACCAACAGGTAGAGGCTTCTAAGCAAGTTGGTACACTAGTCTTATTGTTGAAACAAGCCATCTGGATATTGTTTGCAATGTAACATGGGATCCCCTATGAGGGGGATGAGGTGATACAAAAAGTCTTTTTGGATTTGTGAAAAGAAGCCGTCCTAGATATGTAGAAGGCTAAAGCCCTTCTGGTATCTAAAGTGTGCAACGATCATTCCAAGTCGGTAGTCGGTGATGGGAAGAACATAGGCAGTATAATAGACTATGAAAGATGAAAGTGAGAGACCACTTTAGGCAGGAAGGAAACATCTGGGAACAAGGTGATCTTATTTGGATGGAATTGAAGGAATGGTGCATGAATTCTCAAAGCTGCAAGTTCGGAGGCTATACACACGGAAGTGATGGCAACAAGGAAGAGCGTCTTTAGTGAAAGGAGATGTTTGGATGTGGTGGCGAGAGGCTCGAAAGGTGGACAGGAGAGGCAGTGTAGATTTAGAGATGTTGTTATGTTGATTGGCAAATTTAAGGAAAGCGGACCATTTGTAGACATACAATTTTGCTGTAGAAGGTTTACGAGCATGTGCCAGAATGTCTTTTACTGAGGGATGATTCTCCAGGCAGTCAGGCGAAGGGTTCACAGATCTGGGTGGTAGGTTTGACCCTGGTGTTGTATGATGAGGTGTGGAATTAGAGGTAGACGGGCATGGTCGGCGGTGATGGAACATAGAGTGGTGAACCATGGTTGTCTTGGCCACCATGGGGCAATGTGAATTGCATTGGCACGGTCCTGTATGATCTTGGCTATGGTTCGTAGAATCAAAGAAATGGGTGGAAATAGGTTTATGAGATTCATGGACCAGTCTGCCATGAGTGCGTCTCCCTGAGAACTGTGACCGATGCCTGCTCTGGAGTAAAACAGGCCACACTTTGCATTGTGTTGAGTTGCAAACATATCGATCTGGGGTTGTCCCCACTGATCGCACAGGTTTTGAAACATTCATTGGTCCAGAGACCATTCGTGAGTCTGAGTCAGTTTGCGACTGAGTTGATCCGCTATCACATTCTCATGTGTGGCAATGTACACAGCCATAGGGAAGAAGTGTCATTCCATGCACCACTCCCAGAACTGAACTGCCAAGTAGAGTAGTGGGAGGGAGTGTGTACCTCCCTGTTTGTTCACATAAAACAACACGGTTTTGTTGTCCGTTGTTACTTGGACAATATTGCCTTGCAGGATTGGTTCGAATGCTCTGAATGCTTTGAAGATGGCCAGTAACTCTAGGTTGTTTATGTGAAGAATGGCTTCTGTGTGAGACCAAACGTTGTGAATGTAAAGGTTGTTGAAATGCGCACCACATCTGGTGTTGCTTGCATCTGTCATAACCTGTATCGTAGGTTGAAGAGGAGAGAAGGGTCGACCCATGAATAGGTTGGATGCGTTGTCCCACCAGAGAAGTTGAGCAGATAGTTCTGTAGTGACTCTGAGAAGTTTCAATTGATGGTCTGCCATTGGATCGAAAAGGGTGAGATACCAAGACTGAAGAGAGTGGAGTTTTAGCCTGGCGTGCGGGATGGTGGATGTTGTAGAAGCTATGAGACCTAACAAACGTTGTACCAAATGTGCAGTGACGTAAGCATTTGGACGAAACTGGGCAATGAGGGAATGGAGCTTGGTAGCCTTCTCTTGAGGAAGGAATACCCTTGCCCTGGTAGTATCTAGAATGCCCCCTATGTATGTGATACATTGTGTTGGAAAGAGAATTGATTTTTGTTCATTGACTTTTAGACCCAGATCTGCGAGAAGGGAAAGAGTAGTCTGAATGTCTATGATTGCTTGCTGACGAGAATGGGATATTATAAGCCAGTGATGGTGAACCTATGACACGTGTGCCACAGCTGGCACATGGCGCCCTTTCTGCTGCATGCAAGCCATAAGTCACCAGATCACTACTTCCACCCCTGCACAGCCAAACCTGAGAAGGTGGCTGCAGCCACGGTGCTGGCACTTTGGCAGGCAGATCTGGAGCAGTTGGCGCTGGTGGAGGATCCGGAGTGGGGTCTTGAGGCACTTCCATGCCGCGATTCCCCCTTCCATTGCCACTTCCAGTTCGCAATTCCCCCTTCCATTGCCACTTCCAGTTCCACACCACCCGCTGCCCCCCTTCCCTCCAGTTTGGGCATGCAAGCCCAAGAAGGTTTTCCCCTTCCCTCCAGTTTGGGCATGCGAGCCCAAGAAGGTTTGCCACCTCTGCTATAAGCCAATCGTCTATATATGGGAAGATGGAGATTCCCAAAGTACGAAGATGGGCTGTCACAGGTGCCATGCATTTTGTGAAAACTCTTGGTGGTGTACAAAGGACGAATGGGAGGGCCTTGAATTTGTAGGCGTGTTGTCCTATGGCGAACCGGAGGAATTTGTGATGACCTCGACATATGGAGATGTGGAAACATGTGTCGCTTAGATCTACTGATATGAACCAATCACCATGTTGAAGAATAGGTAAGATTCATTATACTGTTACCATGCAAACTTTTCTTGAAACTATGTAGTAATTGGGATCTCGAAGATCGAGGATCAGTCTTAGTCCTCCATCTTGTTTTGGGACTGTAAAGTAATGGGAGAAGAAACCTGTTTGATGATCTGTCAGAATGATTGGAGATATAGCATCTTTGGAAAGGAGAGATTGAATTTCATTTAGAAGGGCCGTGGATGGTGGTGTTAGAACGAACCTTGAAGGTGGTTGGTAAGCAAATTCGATGGCATATCCAGTGGCTATGATGGTAAGTACCCACTTGTCTGTTGTGATGGCTGTCCAAGATGTAAGATAGATCGATAGACACGCCGCGGATGTGGTAAGAAGGCAAGTATCACAGATCTGAGGGATAACGAAGTCAAAGGCCCTGTTTTTGTTTCCTGTTGGTACGGCGGAATGATTGTTTTGGGCACTGATGCTGAACAGCATGTTTAGGTTGGTAGGAAGTGGTTGATTGAGCTAAGTATTTATTTCTATCATAGTATGGTTTTGATTGTTGGTATTGATAAGGGTGGCGCCACTGAGAGCATTGTGGTTTATAATACTGTTGGGTTTTATACAGCCGTGCTGTATTCTTTAATTTTTGTAGATTCTCAAGAATGTCATCTGTCTTGTCGTCAAAGAGGCCAGTGCTACTGAAAGTAAGTCCTCGATTCTCATGCTGACGTCATCTGGGATTTGGGCTGATCTCAGCCATGCATATCTCTATAGGGCTATTGCAGTGACCAATTGTCGAGAGGAGGAATCAATTATATGCCTAGCTGTAATTCTTTCCTGTCATGCAAGTGCCATTGCTTTCTGATGAAAAGCCAGCCCACATGTCTTATACTCTCCTGTGGCAGACTGGAGGGATGGGAGAACTTTATTCCATAGATAGCAGTGGTACGCTCCCATTGCTGCAATATAGTTAGCAGCCCGGAGGTTAAACAATGCAAAAGTGTAGACTCTGCATCCTACAATGTCTACTTTTCTGCCCTCTTTATTATTAGGTGTTGTAGATGACCTGTTATGGGCTCTGTTCTGAGTAGCATCGACAATTAAAGAATTGGGTGGTGGATGTTTAAAGAGAAAAGTAGTACTGTCTCTAAGAGTCTTATAGTAATTTTCTACCTTACGTGACAATTGAGGGATAGACGAGGGTTTTGTCCATGTTTGTTTAGCCAGTTCCAGCAAGGAAGGAATGAAACTCATACTGAGTGGCACAGAGTGGTGGTCATTAATGTTTTCGTAGACCTTGTCTGATTGTGTTTGTGAAGGCTGTTGGACCTCTAGTTCCATTGCTTTTGTGATCCTGGGAATTAACTGTGAGTATGAAGAAAAATCATCGAATGAAGATGGTGGATCATGGATGTTACTATCAGTCAGGTGTATTTAAATTAGGTGGAGATTCTTGAACCTGGGTAAAATGAGAAGAATGTGATGAAGCCGGGCAGCCTTGGGATGGTGTTGATACTGAATAGGTATGATGAGGCTTAGATGAGATCTCTTGAGGTGGTACTGAGATAGGCTGTGGTACCGAAGAGGTCTGTTGTTTAGAATGTTCCCCTTGTGAGCGCTTGGTACCAGAAGGCTTCAGCTGGGTGGTCTTGGTTGACTGGGGCGTTGATGAGGTGGATGAGATGGTACTGATGTACAAGACCTCTTAGATACCGTGAGTTGAGATTTAGATGGTTAAAGTGTTGTCTCTTACATGACCTGTATTTTGGTACCAGAGAAAATAGTATCTGATCCGGTTCTGATGAAGATCGAGACTGAAAACTTCCATGATACCGGTGGTGGTATTGAGGAGAGAGGTATGAACCCGAGGTGTCAGATTCATAGTAATAATAATGTCTTTGACAACGAAGGTCCCAATAGTAGTCGAGCTCAGATGGGTGGTACTGATGTGCTTGATAGTGAGAGCCTCCGTAGGAGGGCTCAGAGAACTCTGGTGAGTCATATAGTCTGACCCTCCTAGCATGTCTATGCTTCCTGGACAGCTCTCTGGATACGAAGGACCCAGTAGGAGTTATGGGTCTGTCAGGATCGGCACCGTGATGAGATGCATGATGTTCCTTCCTCAATCTCTTCTTTGGAGGGGAATCATTGGGTGCCGGTATTGAGTCCGAACCGCTCAATGAATTGGAGCAACTACTAGAAACTGGACTCGAGTGCTGAGATGTCGGTTCCAAAATCACTTCCGCATCGACCGGTAAAGCCGGTAATTGAGCCAAAATAGGGGACTCAGGTTGGGCGGAAGGAATGTGCCTCAGAAGATGACTTTTTTCTTTTTCTTAGATTTGGACTTGTCTGAAGTTGAAGTGGATTTAGGAACTGAAGTGGAAGATGATGATTTAGGTTTATGTTTAGATATCTGAGAGGATTTAGAAGCAGTTGGTGAGGCAATAAGTGTTGAAATGTGGTTGGGAGGCTCTGTATCTGGAGGTGGATCCATGGCTTGAGGGGGTTGGAGAGATTTTTTCCAAAGGAACGACCTCAATCGTTGCTCTCTTAATTTCAATGCCTGCTTTGTGATTTTTTTTTTTACAGATTTGGCACGAGAAAGTTTGGTGTGTTTCTCCCAGACAGAAAAGGCAGATATTATGGCCATCTGTTAACTGGATCTTGTCAGAGCACGCTGTGCACTTTTTGAAGGGTCATAAATGGCGGGAAGGGAAAAACGGGAAAGGAAGTCAAATTTATTTAGGGAAATAAACAACTTTGTTCTTTTTTAAGGAATCAGAATGGACGAAGAAGCAGCAGCTTGGAAGAGGAGACCTCATGTGGTGGCGGCAAAAAAGAACTGAGGTAACTTGGAGGGCGAGTGGACCTCATGGGCTGGGGGGACGGTCCTTCGCAGAATTAGCATAAAGCTCAAGAATATTCCGGAGATCTCTGCGCAAGCGCAGTTTTAACCCATTAGTGTGCATTCACAGAGATCACGATGAAGAACAGGGAGCTCCCACATGATATTTGCTTCTCCATGAGACCAAAAACACCAGGACCTTTTTTTCATGATCATCAACATTAACAAGTTCTGGGCTTTCTGCAGAAAAATCTTATTATTATTTTTTTGCAGAGTGTAAGGTTTTCTCTGCAAAATGTAGTTTCTTGGCACCCTCTCTCTCTCTCTCTCTTTGTGTGTGTGTGTGTGTGTGTGTGTGAGAGAGAGAGAGAGAGAGAGAGAGACTGCTAGAAGGAATGCTGTTTTTAAAAGTGATGCAATGCATATTCACTGCTCTAATACACACTTAAGCATTTCCATGGAGCTGAAGAAGTATTTAATTTGGCAATATCATGAAGTGGTTCTCTTCTTAAACTACTTCACAATATTGGCAAATGAAGAACAGGTTGCTGTAGACCAAACACGGTCACTTGAGGCCTGTATGCCATTTGGGTGTAAGGATCACACTAAATGGGTGTAAGGATCACACTGGACCTTCTACTGACCTTATTTAGACCAATCCAGCCCACTCGGATTGCCATTTGTAGTCAAGGCCTTAGCCAGATCATTAACAATATTAACTGTAATTATGTGCCAAAAGCTCTGATGCACACAATTCCTGGCTACAATAGGTTGAGAATCTGTTGAACTACTGTGATATGGCAGAGTAATGTCAATGTGCCATTTGGTACTACATAGATCTGAGCATACCATAGCATGTCTCCAGGAATTACCAGAATCTCATAGATCTGACAGGCGTTTTCTTAAAAACCCACTTTGAACTGGTTTTCCTGTCAAGCAAAGCACAGGTGGGCCAGTTTAGCCCATCATCAGGCAGCACCACTAGTGCAGGCTAAATTATTAAGGAGCTTTCCTTCAAGAAAAAGTCCAACAAGGAAAGGTACTCACTATAGGTCCTGGTGGGCCATCTTGGCCTGGTGCTCCAGGTAGACCTTGTTCTCCCTATAAGAAAGAGATGAATTAGGATTCTTCAGTAAGAGTCCATTAAGGAAGACAAGAAATGAGAGATTTAAAATGTTGGGCAATCCACTCACCACAGGGCCAGGAATACCCCGAAGTCCCTCTGGGCCAGGTTTTCCTGCTGGACCCTGAGGTCCAACCGGGCCTGTTTTTCCTGGAGCACCTTCGGTACCAGGTTCCCCCTACAAAACATACATCAGGAGAGTAAACAGTAGAACAGATATCATTTTCTTTATATCTAAAGAAACAAAATGAAATTAAGAATAATTATTTGTTTTTATAGAATGGGTCAATCTGTATTCTTACAGGTTCAAGATTCAAAGTGCAATGTACTAACAAAATTGCCAAATTTATCTGTCCTAATATTGATCTTTATTTACTTGATACAGACAATTCATAGATACTCTTTCTCATATGATTAATGTTTGGCACATACAAAGGTTTGGCATTACCATGAGGACCCATTGCTTCTCACTGAGAGGCAGTCTGGAAGAATGTTGAGTCTCTGGTCAAGTACACTGGTTTTCAGTACATGAAGATAAGTTAACATATACCATTTATTCTTGTTTTAAAGTGCTAGAGATACAGGTATCCTATACCTCTAAGGAGGCACATACTTTGGGCAAACAGTATGCATGAATGCACACTAATATTACCTTTGCTCCTTTTTCACCTTGTCTTCCTTCTGCACCAGTTGCTCCTGGAGGACCCTGTAACAACAAAAAGAAAGTGATCACTGTGGGTGTTAGGTGGATTTACAAATAGAGTGGCTTGGATCCAGACTTTGAAGAAACAACCACTAGCAGAAGGAGATGCGGAGGCTTCTTTCATTGATACCCCATCTTCCCTGCATCCCATTCTGCCTTCCAAATATCTCTTCCAGAGGGATGGCGGTTCTCCAAATCACGTACTGTAGGAGGTAGTAGTGAGGCTGTTTGCAGAATACCTCTTTTGATTAAAGAAAGCTTCCATTCCTAAAAGGCAAAATCTGGGCCCAACTAGATGTACAACAAACAGAAATAAAGTATGACTAGTACATTTGTTCAGGTTTTCTAAAAGGTCAACGAGTAGTAAAACAAAGAAAAGGAATCAACTGCAGATCTATGTTCTTTTGATTTTGCTGCTAAAGAGCCAAAAAGGCATAGTTCAAATGTTGCTTAGAAGTTCAAAGGCTTAAAAAATCAGAAATATATCTCTTTATATTTGTTTATATTCCATTGATCCACAGAAACTGTACGGTGAATTATAATAAAATACATAACAAAGTAACAACAGCATGAAAACATAGTATAACTGCCAGCTTTGCACTTTATGGTAAAGATACTGTATTCTTTGCTTTTCAAAGCAGCAGGGTACAAAATTAGCAATATAACAAATATGATGTTACTAAATGCTGAAAGAAAGCAAGTTCTTACTAGCTGCCTAAAAATTTCTGATAGTGCCCAGAGGATTTCAGCAGGATGAAATATAATCCAGGATGTGGGAGGGACTGCATAGAGCCAATGTTGTTACGTTCAAACTTGACATGTTACTTTATAAGGACTATAATTCCCAGAATCCCTTAGCCAGTACAGCCACTATCCCTGCTGGCTGAAGAATTTTGGGAGTTCTGGTCCAAAAGGTTAAATTTCCAAGCTCCTCTTTAGACTTTATTTAATACTGTGATGATCTACTGGGACAGGGAGGGATTGAAGAAACGGGAGTAAACTCAGCTCATCTCTATATTCCTTCCTCCCACCTTTTGAGCAGATATTCAGTGGTACTGGATACTGTCTGACTATACTGTATAATCAAAACTCATTGGAAACATGCAAACAAATTCTCTGTGAAAAGATGGAAGAATAGAACAGGGAAATTTGGAATATTAGAAGAGTATGTTCCTAAGCATACCTCAATTAATCCTTCCTAGACTATGTACGGTTTTGAAAAAAAACACATTCTGACTACTTGGTTGTACCAATAAAGCATCAATTAGGCTACAAACAGAGAAGATACAGATATGTACCTTTTTCTTCATCCTTTTATGATGATCATATTCAAGCCCCCTACTCTACATCATTAGCATGTACATATAATCTCATTTTCCCCATAATTCATGAGATTAACCAAACTTTGCAAATATCACTACTGCTTAGCCATTTTAATCTTATTTCTTCCCTGCTATTTGTCTGTTTGGTTATCCAAATGTTTTAACAGTAATAAAAACCTAAACAGTAGGTGCTAACTGTTTTGTGATCATGTTTGTCAAGTTTCAGACTGTATTTCTCATACATATCTCCTCCTCTATAGCTAGGGTGGCCACCAGTACAGAGAGCTGGAAGAGAGGTCACCCTCTGAACACTTCAGGAAAACCCATTGCCAAAACCTGGCTGCCTCCTCTTCCTCTGGATGATAGCTCCTCATGTAACAGCAGGAAAGGCTGTGATACTAGGAGGAAGCAGCAGTAGCTGTTCTTGCCTCCAGGTCCAGTGGATGTCAGACTGGGGAAGCATATTGATAGGGAGAAGATGGTGCCACCTGTGCTAAGTATGGGGAGGAGATTTAAGACAAAGGGCATTTTTTCAGTGACTCAGTTGAAACTTAGGATTGGTTCATGCTGGAAAAACAACCACATTTGTCTTTGTCAGAAAGAAGACAACAGGGCGATGTGATATCTTTACAAAAGAGTGGTTTGCTGTCGGCAACTGCCTTTCTGCACACTAAAATATAACGTTTATCAAGGCACAAGAAGACTATCTGAAGCAAAAAATAGATTTTGAAAAAAGCTCCAGAATGAACAACATTGATTAATCTACATGCAAAATACATGTAACTAGTATAACAGTAAATAAGGAAAGTATCTTTAAAATAAGGGACAAAACCACCCATTTCCCCTCTATATTCAAATAGGAAAACAAATAACTACCTATTCTTGTCAACACATTATCAGCAAAGATGTGTGTGCTGAGTTCAGTGAGATTTTGGGATTTCTAAAACCACTTCCACACAATGCAAACATGCATCCCTTTGATTTGACAGCACAGCAGGCTAGAAATAGTTGCACGTACAGCTCTGGAATGATGACACTTTACTCTTACATGACATTATAGTGACACCAACCAGCTGCTTTTCTAAGCTTAGCGAATGAGTTTAACATCTTTCCAAAATGCTATTTTTAAAAAAAAAAATAAGCAGATGTTGTGCAAATATCTTGTATCTATGGCAAATCTGAAAGATTCAGCCAATGTTTGGACCAAGAAATCAACAGAGCTTGTTGTCCGTTGTTAATAGAACCGTCCACCTCACAGCCTCTTGCTCTTGGACAAAAAGTGGAGAAGGTGAGGGATCATAGTTTTCTCCTCACAATGAGGTATCTCTATTCAGGATTCCCCCCTCTCTCCATGATATCTTGTGGGAAGCCTTCCAGTATTTCTATTGCGGTCATTTTATTTTTCCAGAAAAAAAAAAATACTAAGAAGCAGAATCGCATCCTTCCAGAGCGAGATTCACAGAAAAGTGCATTTAGCTGGCCAGAATTTGGCCATTTCCTATGAAGAATAATGGGTGCCATAAAAATGCCATAAGCGAAAACCAGAATTAAACAAAGAAGAAGGCAAGGTGAGGCCAAGACATCCTTGGCATGGCAGAACTCAGAACATTGCTGAGAATGCCCAGATTCACTGAAGCAAGCAGTGGTACAGAGACCCCTTTGAAATAAATCACATGGAGGCTGTTCTGTGCACTGTGCTGTTCAGAAGCTCACTGCATCCCAGACACTGGTTCCTGTACACAAATAGCTTATGTATGGAGGGCTTCCACATTGTAGTAGTTAATGAATGCGTATTACTTTGCTGCTGGACTGCATGAACCATATTCCACCAAAGTGTCACAAATGAACTGTTATGTGCTTTTGATCCACTTCTGGAAAACCAGATGGTTTCTGGGATAAAAGATTGGTTACAAATCTCAGCAGGAAAGAAAAAAAAATCATTCTTACTTATTCGATAGAAAAACAGGCTTAGAGTTGTCCATAGTCTGATCTTTCATGGCATCAAGAAGGTATGATATCCTGCCTTAAAGACGTACTGTAGATTAGATTCTTTGGATTAAATTTGCGTAAGCAATCAAATGAGTGCACAGGTCCCAGAGTGGGGAAGAACCATGGTCCAAGTAACACATCTCTTCCACAGTAATTGTAGATCTGCAGAATTAGAAGGGACCGCATGGATCCTCAAGTCCAGTCCTTGTCAAGGAGGCGAAGTGGGGAATCGAACTCCCAGCCTCTGCAGCCAGAAACCTAAATCATGGAGCTATCTAGCTATCAGTGCTGAAAATTTGGAGTTGCAAGCTTGAAAAATTTTCAACTGGGGCTCTTTTACCTTCTTAACATAACTACTTAGCTGAAAACTGATTTTTTTTCTTATGTACTTGGTGGCAAAACCCAGAAAACAAATGAGGCACAATAATTCAACTTTCTTGTGTACTCCATTTACAGAGAGTATCAGAACATATTTTGCATGCTTTCCTAAGCATTGAAAAGCTTTTTCAAATACCATATTGAATGGAGAGCCCTCTACTAATTTGTCACTCCACAATAGGTAGTCTACAGAATCTGGAATGAGTCTAGGAATTTAGGAAGGTGTTACAACCCATTATTCATTAGTATTTCAGCGTTATTCTCCACCCATTTTAACCTTTATGGATATATCAGGGATTTTCACATATTGCAGTCTTTATGTATATTGGTGTTTGGAAAAAGACTTGTAATTTACACATGCATTTACCAAATTGCTGGCAAGAGGCTTTGTCTCTCTACTGCCTGCTGGGTGGCAAGCTTAGGTTTTGTGATTGTGTAATACGTGGCCCAACCCTTTGTTACAAGGCATTTAATGACTTCTTTTGCTGTACAAGATCCACTTCAAGCAAGCTTCTAAGATGGCTAAAGCCAAATCTCTTCAGGTGGGAGAAGCCATGAAAGAACTTCATAATAATTAAAAACATGTTTCTTGTATAATCTGCGAATGCAGCTGCGACATCAATTAACAGAGCTTAAGAACACTGTGATCGCTAAATTATAAGTACAATGAATCATGATTGCTAAACAAAGGGGGTGAATTCATTATCAAACAGTGCCAATTCTGCACTGAATGCAAAGTGGGTAAATGAACAGCTCTTGTTAACACCCTCTGAATGCCAGCAACGCACAGATGGTGTTTCCACAAAGGAAAGCTGGCTAATTGTTATTTATCTTACTTTCCTGTGCTTGCATTTCATAGCAATGGGTAAAAATTTAACTGGCATAAAGTATCTCAGCAACAAGAATACGGACTTAATGTATGT